GAGGTGAGTCAGTGAGGGTCGACGCAGGTGGGGTATGGTGAGTGTTCTGTTTCACAGGTTTGTTATCAGCATCCCATGTCCTTCTTTGCTTCTTTCACTCACCCGATCAATCCATTTCGGAAGTGAGCTTACTGAGCCAAGGGGCATCCAGCGCTTCGTGAAGGCTTTGTGTTTCATGTCAGTGATCGGTGATGCAGCGCTTGGTCCGATTCCCCAGTCTTTAGCCATGATTGATGAAGCCGGGTTCTTTCACACGAGTTCCAGCTTGCACCAGAGGACCGTTATGTGTGTAGCATCCGAGAACCCATTTGGGTGCGCAGTTCTTTGCTAAGAAAACCCCCCCCCCCCCAAATGGGGAGGGGGATTGTCCTTTTGGTTTCCCTTTAAGGTGAGGGCCTTAAACAAAGAGAGCAACTCATTTGTTCGAGCTCATGGTAAAGAATTGGCCAGGCCTTTGAAAGGGTCAGATCTGCCAGGAGCTTCCAGAGGTCTCTGCCAAGGACATCGACCAAGGGGACGGCAGCGGCGCGCTGGTGTCCAAGGCCCGGATCGATCGGCGATCGGCACGAAACGACCTGAGGGAGGGGCCGTGGGCCGTCTGTTGTATTTAAAGGGTGGCTGAGGGAAAATGGCTCCGTCTGTTTGGGTAAAAGGGTGGCCGAGGGAAAATGGCTCATGTTGGGGGTGCTCGTTTTTTTTTGAGAGCCCGCCTGACCGGGTCGCTAACCCCCAACTTTGAACCCGTGGGTAGAATTTCTTCAGGGTGATGACGCAAACAGTTTGAGCTTTCCTGCTGAACGGCCATAGGTCGGCAACAACGGGTTGGTTTTCTAGACGCAGCTGTCCAAAACCGGCGAAGCCAACTTTTTGAGTTTCTAATTTGGTATTTTCTGTCAAGCTCCCAAGAGCTTGGCCTTTTGTTTCCAGGTCCAGGTTGAGGCTACTTGCAGGCCGTGATTTTGGTTCTGTGGTTAAGGTCAGAAACCCTGTTGCTTGGGGGCAGTACCCCTTGGTGTCCTCTTCAGAGAACACACCATTTTGATTGGGGCTCATATCATATGGGCTGTGGTGGCGTGTGGCTCACTTGCAGCATTTCAGGGGCTGACATGGCTAATCCTCAGCGAAACACTCACACACACACACACACACACACACACACACACACACACACACACACACACACACACACACACACACGGAGCGTCAAGTGCCCCCCCCCCCCCCCGGACGAGCCAGAGGAGGTTTTCAGCGGTCAGCAGAAAAGTGTGCGGGTGATGTTCTGTTTTGGCTCATTTCAAACATTTGGCTCAATCATATCGCGCCCTTGCAAAGTGATCCCAACCGCAACCGCGACTTGGAGCCCCAGGCCCCATGATGCAAGTTTTATTAGGGCAGGGGGGATGCCTGCATTCAGGTTGGCGAGCTCCCTTTTGCCTGCCATGTGTGTGAAGGAGGTTTGTGCTGGGTTGCCTGTGTTTGTGCGTGTGTGTGTGTGTGTGTCTTTGTGCCTGCGTGTCTTTATGTGTGTGTGTGTGTGTGTGTGTGTGTGTGTGTGTGTGTGTGTGTGTGTGTGTGTGTGTGTGTGTGTATGTGTGTGTATGTGTGTGTGTGTGTGTGTGTGTCTGCACGCCTGTGTGTGTTTTTCTCTGTGTGTCTTTGCGTGCGTGCTTGTGTGTCCGTGTGTTTGTCTTTTTGTGTGAGTGCGCCTCTGCGTCTGTGTGTGTCTTTGTTCTCAGCATGTCTCTGCGTCTGTACCGAGCCTCAGACAATACACTCTTTGTGGTTGGTGAGGGAACCACCGCCAACGCCAATATTCGGGGTCCAAATCCCCGTTTTGCCAGAAGACCACTCATACACACATCTATTTTGGTCAGGTAAACTATGAACCTTAGTTGGTGGGTTCTTGTAGAGCTTAAATGGGAAGTACTCTCCAAATCTCCAAGCCATCAATCCAAACCACCAAGGGACCTCAACGCAATCTCCAACCAATCCAAACCACCAAGTTAGATAAACAAAAGTAGTTGGTGGGATGGGATGAGATAAAAACAAAAATCCCATTCACTCGGAGGTCAGTGGGTTGCCTCCGAAAAAGGGCCCGGAGCCTCCAAAACTCGTCAAGTGAGGTGCTGGAGGCCGGGGTGCGGCTCCTCTTGCGCCGCTACGATGACGTGACGGTGCGGGTGCAGAGCAGGCGCGACGTGGAAGCCCAGGGTAGGGGCCAGATGGGGCCAGAAATGCCAGGCGAATGGCAAAGCAACAAGTTTGACATGTATTTTAAGGCGTTTTGGCCCTGGTAGTGAGAATCTGTTGTTTTGAGGAGTTTTTTTTGTTGGGGGCTGCCTGCATTTGTGATTAGGCCATTCGCTCAATTTGTGATGTGGCATTCTTCTGATTGGTTTGCAGGGAAGCAAGGGGGTCCTCCCTGCTTGCAGCTGAAGCTGTGCTTGCTTCTCAGCCCTTGGCTCAGTTCTCCTACTCTCCTCGTGAGATTCTGGAGAACTCGCTCTGGTACTTGTTGCTCATCGACATGGACCAAGTTGTCAGCAGGAGAAGCTCCAACAGCTTTCCAAGCAGCACGGTGAAGAACCTGCTGGCTTGCGCCCAAAAAAGCTCCGTGGAGCGGGCGTGCAGGCAAGAGCCAGACATCGCGTTCGGACCATCTTGCTGCATGGACGACAGTGCTTTGCGCACCACTTCAGTCGCGTCCCACACAAAGTGAGGTGCTCAATTTTTCGAGAAACCGTTTCAATGTCAGTACGTGTTTGTTTTTCGAGATGGCCCCTTTTTTTTCATGGGCTTATAGGAAAGCCACAAGGAAAGCCCTTTCCATGTTTTCTGGTGGAGGTCCCATGTAACCATCACCTTCCAATGAACTCAGGGACTGGATGTGTTTGGTCATCTCCACCGTTGCCCTGACCCGCATGATTCCCCAGAGCCATATTCAGCTCCAGAAGTCACCCCAGAGATGTGAGATGTGAAAAAGGCAACTCCGGGAAGGCGGGACCTTTGTGCCTCCAGTGCCCTTGCTGGTTCTCAGGGAATCCAGAGGGCTGGGAGTGCTGGGAGTGCTGGGAATGAACCTAGCGTTGCCCTGAACCAGCTGGTTGTTCCCCCTTGTATGAAGGATGCGATCCCTAAGTACGAGCCGGGATTCATCTAGTGGACCTGGAGGCTTTGTGTATGAACAGGCACGATTCCAAGAGGAGTTGGATTGGGCAACCCCAAATTTTGGGAAGCAACAAGCTGCAGTCTGAACACAACAAATATGTATGACTTGGACTTCGGGAGCCGACGTCGTTTGCAGACGTCATTTGCATGCGGGTTTTATGTCAAACCATGTTGCGTGTGCTCCAACCATGACATGCAAATTCACATTTTTCGCGAGGGGACACCTGAAATAGGTTGCTCCCGGAGAAAAATAAGATACAACTACCTAAAAAAAGGCAGACAAAACTGAATCCAATCTTGATCCACATGGGAGTTTCTCAAAATGGATTTCGCCCCCCCCCCCCCCCGCCCAAAAAAAAAAAAAGGATTTTCTGCCAAAAGAAAAGGATTTCGCCCCCCCCCCCCCCACCGTTAATTTGCATTTAGAGGGAAGCCAAAAGGAAACCAACCTGGACCTTCCATTGTTACATAAATTTGTGTCACGAAAGAAAAGTGCTCGGGGCATCTATTTTCGCCCAATGATCCAAAAAGTGCTCGTTCCCCAAAAAGCGCTCGATTCATGAACACGGGCTTCTTGCAAAATACCAAGTGCTACATGTTTTGGATTTGCGCTCGTTTTGCGAGTACTTGCACTCGTTTTGCGGGTATTTGCGCTCGTTTTGCAGGTATGGTTCACATGTTTCCACCAACAGGCTATATGAGATGAGAGAAGCCGCCGCAGTAGCCAAAAATGCTCGAACAAATTGTGCCCGTTCCCACGCAAAACGACTAGCAAATGTCTGCTACGAAACACCCAAGGGACACAAATTTATGTAACGAATGAAGGTCCAGGAACCAGTCTAGGTGAGGTGGCTTCTTTTTTGAGGGTACCCTTTCCAGGATTCTTGAAAGGGAAGCAATACCGAACCAACCGCATTGTCAGGGTCCGATTCCTGTTTTGAGACGCCATGTTTTTAAGCAAAAGACCCGTAGTTGCCTGCGCAACTGGAGGTGGGACCAGCTCATCCGCGGCCGCGTGGAGGCCGTGGCTTTGCTGCGGCACTCGGGATCACCCCGTTCGGTGGGCGCTAAACTGCTTGGGGTTTCAACGTATTTCTGGCTTGTGAAGAGTATTTTGCCCAGCCGCGAAGAGTGCTCCTCTTTTACCTCTATCCGGGTGGTCAAACCTCAAGAGAAACTTGGTTGGGCTTACTTTGATCCTGCCCATTCACACTTTGCCGGGGCCCAACTCACGCTGGACATGATCGCTCGTCGCTCGAGCCGCATCCATTTAATGTCGAACCCTGATAAATCAACTTGGTGGGGGTGTTTCCCGAAAAGTGAAGGAGCTCTTCACAAATGGGATACCGCCCAATGAATCGACCAGGGTTTATTCATGCTGGGTTCCCCTGCAACTCAAAGGAGAATGTCCGGGTGGCTATGGGAAAAGAGTGAGAGAATGTGACCGAACCTCACATGAGTACTCAAAATTTGAGATTGAAGCAGTGTAAACCCACCGAAAAAGCAAATTCCTATCATTCCCAAGCCTCAAAAGGGAGCCCCTTGTATTTGTTGTGTGAACACTCTTCAGCCGCCCGGACCTCTGAGCTTGCGACGTGAGAACGCGCCTATGCATCGGAAGCTGACAAAACAACAGCAGATCAGTCAAACGAAACGGGGGCCCTCGAAGATCGAAGAAAAGCCCCGCCAAGTAACAATGTGCTGATTGGGCTTAGCGCCCGCCCGCCCACCCACCCACCCACCCACCGACCGACCGACCGACCGACCCACCGACCCACCGACCCACCGACCCACCGACCCACCGACCCACCGACCCACCGACCCACCGACCCACCGACCCACCGACCCACCGACCCACCGACCCACCGACCCACCGACCCGACCCACCGACCCACCGACCCACCGACCCACCCACCCAAAATTTGCCTCAATTGTGTTTGTGACAGATTGGGTTTCACAAGAGCGCCCCCGTAGGCGGTTCACTTGGCTGGAGAGAACTGGCGCCTTGGCCTTTTTGTGGTACGTGGCGTTGGCGGGTCCAAAACAGGGGAGCTCCGAAAACGGGTGTTTCTACACTCTGAAAGGGGAACCCTAGCGACAAAAGCAAAAACTCATGTCGGTTTTGAGGGCAACTTTCTGGGGTTCTGTCAAAAAGAGCCAAAGACACACCAAGAGTGTTCCCATGTCTTTTCTGATGCCACGGAAAGCAACACCGGGCTGTGTCAACCCCAGCTGGCCAAGTTTGGCCAGAGAATCGAGTGACGAGGGTTTACTTTCTGTCCCTCTTCGCCTGAAGCCCTGGTGTTCAGGGACCAATTCCAAGGTTTCTTTGATTTAGCCAAATCGGGTTCATTAGGCAGATCCCCACCCCTCCCTCGCCTCCTTTTTCGGGTGCGGGACTCCTCTCACTGAACTAACCTTCTTGGGTGTGTCCTTTTTCGAGCGTACCCTTTTCGGGGTTGATTTGAAGGGGAATAAAAGGCAAAGCCCTATGTTGGGGGGTGAGAGAAAAGACGCACCTTTCCCTTTTCTTTTCCCTGGTTCCTTTCAGCTAGACAGGCTCAGTTTGTTGATATATGAAAACCAGCAAGATGGGAAAGCTTGCTTGCGGTGCTGTTGGAGGGGATCAGTTTGTCGCGCTGTTTTGGGCAGGCGTCCAGCAGGTTGATTCATCTTGGTGCTCAGCAAAAGATGAGGGAATGACCCTTATAAACCATCCCGGGTGGTTTCCTTTAAGGGAATCCCGAGGTTCATCCCCGCTTCCCCCACTCGCCAGCAAGTCATCCGAGTCACCATTCCAGCGGTGCCTAAAATGTGTGTTTGTGGCGGCTGTCACATCACCAGGGACTCATATGAGGGTGGACTTTTCTGGGAAACTGGAGGGATTGGATTCGGGAACTCACATTGCTCACCGAGGGGCGCTTCTCGGAAGGGGCTGGCACTCTTTTATCGGGAGTATGTCTTTTAGATATGTTTGTTTTTGAACTGTGGGAATGCCCTCACTTTGGCTTTCCTACCAACCCCCAAAGGCTAACTGCAAAAAAACCACCCCCCTCCGGACTCCCCCCCCTCCCTTGCCGCCGTCAGCGTCTTTTGAGGTGCACGAAGCTGGGCCTCCGGGCGCGGGCGCTGCGCGTGGCGGCGCTGCGCGGGGCGGCGCTGGACTACGGGGAGCTGCTGCAGGGCCGCGTGACGTTGACGGAGGCCGGGTTTCGGTTATGACCAAAGCGACGGTGGATGGACGAAGTCCGTTTTGCACCACCTAAGAAGCCCTGAGGAGAATGATTGCTTTGTAAATACCACCAAACAATGGATTCAACCATGGTTTCAAAGTGGTGCGAAATGGATTAAGTGTTAGTTTGTGGAAAGCTGCAGTTCTTGTGGGGAGGTAGAACGCCAAGGGCTTGGTGTTTTCAACAAGGTGTTTCCCTTGTAAGATTTTGTAGGGCTTAGTCGTCTTGAATGAATTCCATTTGTTGATTGCGCAAGGGTGGATTCAAATTCAAAACCCGCCATGCCCAATTACTTAGGCCATCATGGAACTCCTTCCCCCCCCCCAACAAAAAGGAAGAAGCATAAGCAAAGAAGAACAGAGATACATAAATAAATAGGACCCCCCCTATTTGTTCTAATATATGTGTATAATATATAATAATATATATATATATATATGCGTATATGTACAAATAATATATATATATATACACATGAACATACAATGTTGGTTGTCCTTTCGCTTGGCTTTAAAAGGCCCAGTCCAAAACATCCATCGGCACAGGCGGCGCAGGGCTGGGCGGAGGCCGTCTTCGATGCCGAGGAGTTCGCGGACTTCCTGGTCTACCCGCAGGCGGCGACAACAAATTGTCGGGACGGACGAGGAGGGCCCCTTTTGGGGGGTTTGCAAAATGGGTGTGTCATTTTTTAGGGCCCCCCCAAAAAAAGTAACTGAATAACTGAATAACTGAATAAATGAATAAATGAATGAATAAATAAATAAATAAATAAATAAACAATAATAAACAATGGTTGTCTTTTTTGGGGCCTCCCCAGGGAAACCAAGAGGAAACCAAACACTTGGAGGGCTGGAGAGGAGCCCTTTTTGGATGCCCCCAAAAAATAATTAAATAAATAAACAATGGTTGTGGTTTTTTGGTTAGGGGAACCCCCTAAAGAAACAAGATGGTGTCCTTTTGGTTCAGAACAGCAAAACCCATTCAAGGGGAACGCTCGAGTTCATGGACTTTAGTCATTTGGGTTTGGACCAACTGTTAGTTTGGGGCCTTTTTCGTCAATCCGTTCAGGAAGTGAGACATGGGTATGTGTCAAGAGGGGCGGCCGAAATGGATTTCGGTTTCCGTCTTGAAACAACTCAAAAAAGGGGGTACGCTCAAAAACAGACGAACCCGAATAGGTGCCCTCAAATGGCAAGGGGGTTCCGTTTGCACCCCAGCCAAGGGCGTTCACCGATAATTACTCCCTTGCCCTTTTTTGACCTAGTTGCCCTTGTGACCTTTTCCGTCCCTGCTTTTGCAGCTTCCCCCCTTTTTTCGTCTTACTCTCCAAGTTCCTGGCGTGATACCTTTGGGAAGATCATGTTTGCGGCAGTCTTGAACTTTTTGGCCAACCCCATCGTTCGGGGTTGGCTTAAAATCAATCCTTAGCAATTTGTTGGTAGAATGCTTCGGACTCCTCGAGTTTGTTTTTCCTTTTGAAATTCCTTTGGAGGGGCTTAGCCTCAAAAACAACTGCCCCCCAAACGCCCACTCACGTCCTGAGCTGCTGATGTGTGGTACATGCCCCGCCCCACTGTCATACTAAACATTTTGCCCCCCAATTCAGCAAAAAGTATACCAAAGTCCGACTGTGGTGGTCGATTAGGGACCCTTTCGTAGACATCATTTCGGTGGGATCATATCCACCATCCACGTTTGAGGCGGTCCCCGTTTATAATTCCCAGCCATCAAGCAACCAAGAACTTACATTTCATCCCTTTGAGGCCTTTTGAGGGACCCATTCGGGGCTGGCACCCAGGCCCGGGCCCCATGGAGCAGGTAATTTGCGGGATTCTTTAGTTCAAACTCCCAGCGGCCCCCCCAAACCCCTCCAAGGTGTCCAATAGAGGGTCTGGGTCTTCCATGGAAGCTCCAGAAGTGTTTGGGTTGGTGAATCGTAGTCTGACCAGATAAAGTGTCTTGTTTTCTCTACAGGATACTGGCCCCCCCCCCCCTGTATGCGGTTCAAGGTTAGCCCTTTTTCTCACAATAGGATAATTTCCTGGACGGGGTGGGTGGGTTGGTATTCTTCCGTTCTCTGAATTGCCGACGTGTTTTCTTCCTTGATTTTAAGGTCCCTTTTGCGCCCCTGAAGCAAAAACACGTTTGGATCATGTTTTCCTAAACCAAGCCTTTCCCAAGCGTTTAACGTGGCTCAGCAGATTCCATTTGGAACCTTGCAAACAAAATACTCTGAGAAACGAAGCAAGCCTGTGCAAGTTGAGTCGCGACCTCACACAAGGATTTGTTGCAATTGAGATGCAAGCGCATGATCCACGAGCAATATTCTTCCAAGGCATCGTTTCTGGGTAGTCCCCTATCGGTTTTGCAGGTTAGTGAGTATCCGTTCTGGGTAGGCTACTGTTTGTTTCTGGCGGTAGTTTTGTCAGGTATTCACAACAGATGTTGTCAACATGTTGGTGTCAAAATAGGGGTTCTTCAAAATTCTGGTTTTCCTTTGGGTGTCCCTTTCCACCAACCCAAAAAAGGGTCTCAAAGAAAAAGCAGCCCATGTCCAGTTGTCTATGGTGCATTTGGCTCTACGTTTCCAACACGGATCCAGGCGGAGCCCCAAAAAGTCCCATGTCCTCTTCGGAAAACAAGTAGTTTCGACCGTGCCATCCCAAAAGGTAGGTGTTTCTCACAATAGTGGTTCACTGAAATTAACAGGGTGTAGCCCTTCAAAGCAACATTCGTTTGGACCACCTTTCTGAACACATACCACCATGTTGGCTTCCAATTTGGTTTCTCATTCATTCTTGCTGCCCCTTTGGGGGTCCTAAAAGCTTCCATCGGCGCGACTCGCAGGTGGCAGCGGCCGCGCCGGAGCTGGAGGGCGCCCAGTTCCGGTTCTGCGGCTCGGTGGAGATCTCGAGTGCCGACGAGACGCTGACCTTCCAGGCGCGGCCTGGCGCGGCGGGTTCCGCGACAGCCGGGGAGGAGCAGGCTGTTGCAGCACCCGGCAGGGGAGTAGCTGACTTGTGTCTTGAAGTAGACCCGCCCCGAGATGGTGGCTCCCTTGTTTCCCTTCAAAAAAGACACTCCGAAGAGGGGTATGCTCAAGAAACTGGCCAGCTGCGGGGCCAGGCCTGGGCCAGCGTGCTTTTCATAGGTTTGGGGGACCCTTACAAACCCAGAACCCTTGCCTTTGATTGAAATGATGAACCCAGAAAAACAGAAATCCTAGGTTTTAGGTTTTCCTGGGAAAAAATGGGGCAGGCTTGAGGAGCCCCTTGTAATCAACGGGGGTTGCGAACAATTGAGCTGTTCCGGCACAGTTCAAAGGAAAGAAAGATGCATTGAGCTAACGAGGTCTTTCGTTTTGCTTGGCAAATCTGCGCTGCGTAAGTACGCCGCGAAGCAAGCACGGTCGCAGTGAAGAGAGAGGCAGCAATTGTACCAGCTGAGATCCAAGTCCTTCAAATTACATGGCTTTGCTTTGGCGCTTAAACAGAGAATACTGTATTACACGGGGCCCGCGGCGCCTAGGCTTAGAATGAGTTGGACGGACACCAGAGTAAACATCCTCTGTACTTCAAGCGAACCATGTGTGACATCATTGAGCGAGTTGGAATGACCCCCTGAACTGAACCGTCCTTTGCGCGCAAGTGCCGAGCTTTCAAAGGGCTGTCATGATTGTACGCTAGGGGTTATCTCCCACAGATGGGGATGTCTTTGTTTTAGGGTTCTGTTTTGGTGTTGGTTTGGGAATCCCCTATTTTGAGACCCCATATTTTACATATATGAGTGTGGTGTGTGCCAGTCTATGTTTTTTGCAGCAGGCAAATTCTGGGGGAGTTTACGTTGCCGGTTTTTGTGATACCAAGGGTACTGAGTTTGACAAAGTAGTCGCCCGTGATGGAAATCCGACACTGGTCTCGCAGGTGTTGGGCTCTCCAGCTGAGTATGGGTCAAAATTAAACCACCAGGAATTGGACCGCAGGTTTTGGTCCATTCCACTTACCGATCGGGCAAGCCATTTGGGGGTTACCCGATTTTTGAGCCACAGCCAAATATCGCCTGTGAGTGTATCTTGATCAATTTCCTGACGGGGCCAGGCTTGTGGCTTCCGGAGGAATTTCTTCAGGACCTGCCAGGTGCCATGTGAGCCACTTGCTCAAAACCTGGGTCAGTGAAGGTAAGGGGCAACCCCAGCCGTAAATAGCTGCGGATATCCGCCTTCTTAATTCTTTACATGGTGGGTCGACAAGTTTAAATGCCGGGTTTGATATGACTCATGTTAGGCGGATATTTCCCGCACGGCTTCTTGGCCTAGGGCTCCCACGCCGGCGACCTCTTCCGCGGGACCCTGTCCTGTGGCGATGGCCGGGTGCACGTCGCGTCGGCCGACTTTTGGAGTGTGTTACCCTGATGGCTCTAAACGTTTTTTGACGGTTTGTACCACGGGCCGGAGAACTAACATTTTTTTAATTTTATTTTATTTTCGCATGGTCGTGACTTAGTTTGGTTTTCCATCCCAACCCCCCATTCCAATTCTTGGCTACCTTGCAATGAGTTGGGCCGCGAGAATCCCTTTGAACTTGTCAACTTTTTTGCGCCCCCCCCCCTTTTGGTCAGTTCTCAAGGGACACCAACAGGACGCTATCCATTTTGGGGGGGACCACTTCCGATTGCTTTTGCAGCTTTGTCCAAGGCGACGGGCCCACTTTGATTGGGTTGAACCATAATTGTGGTGACCCCTTTCTGGAGGATTCTAAAGGGAAAACAGAACAGAGCAGCACAGATTTGTGGGTCTGCTTTTTTGAGGAACACCCATTTTCAAGTCTTAGAAGCTTGCCCTAATTGGCGGGAGATTGGTGACTAGTGTTGCAGCGGAGGCCCTCAACTCACCATCAGTAGCTCGGGCAGATCCAAGCACAGGCGACGCATTTTTATCCGTACCCCTTTCAGGAGTCGTTTTTCCAAGACAAACCGGGGAATGTCTAAGGAGCCCGGCCCTCACTCAAGGTCAGCCGTTTCCACCGAGGCTGCAGGATTTCTTGTAGTTGGCTTCTTTGATATGGATCCCCATGTTCTCGAGAACATCCCAGCCATCTAAACGTTAAATGTGTCGCCCCTGGCTAAAAGAGTGAAAGAAGAAAACCGACATTAAATTGCATGTTTAGCCCGGGTTGACCGTCAATCGTGGCAGAACATGTTGAGATTCATTCTGGGTTGAACCTTGGCAAAGTCCCAAGGCTTGAAGATGCTCTCATTGAGGGGTTCCGACCTCACATCCTACCTCCTGGAAATCATGCCTAACCAGGGCTAAAACCCGAAACACGCCTACAACCCAACGGGTCAGTTTCTATTTCTTGGCCGCCATTCTTCGGTTATAAGTGGGGGTATCAACCGCCTAAACGGGGCTTACTGTGCTTATACCCCTATTTAACACAACCAAACAAAGGTGGCCAAGTAAGATGTGTAAAGTTGCGTATGTCAGTATGTACACAATATGTAAATCAGGTTGGGCTAGGAACCAAAAATACGTATAAGTATGTTTTGGGTCATCATGGTTTTGGGACCTTTTCATTGAGGTTCCCACAATGCTTCATGGGTAAACCGAGCCCATCCCTCGCAACCTCAGTGGGTCTCCCTTGAAACCCTACCATGGGTGCCCTCGCAAGTCTACACCCAAAACTCGGAAACGGGGTATCTAAATCTTGGAGAAGCAACTTCAGGCACGCAGCCCCAAGTATCGCTTCACGGTGACATTGACGAGGCGGGCCGCGGTTCGGGCCGGGAGACATCGGTTGTCTAAACTATCTATGTGACCAGTGCCCATGAAGATGAACTGGGAAGAAATGTCATCAACCACTCAGACACCAAACTACAACGCCAAACGCGACGGAAAGAATTCCTATTTGGAGCCATGAGCGCCTGGGCTCAGGGGCCTCCCAGCAGGTCGGGCTGGGCAGGCAAAGTCCTGAGTGTTTTGCACACCCGGTCCACCCAATGTCGTCCGTTGGCGCCTGGTCCAGAGGTCGCCGATGAGCCTGGGCTGGCCTCAGAGAGCTCGACTTTCTGCCAGCGGGATCCAACAGCATAGATGGCAACCCGACTTCGGACATGAGGGTCCTGGGACCTAGCCCTCCCGCGCGTGCTCTTGCCTTCTCCAAGAATCGGCTCTGGATCCAGGTTTTTGCAAAGCCGTAGCAACGGCGTGTGGCTGCCTTTAAGGCGCCCGGCCGCCGGATCTACAGCGCCCGGCCGCCGGACCTACAGTGTCCTGCAGTCTTTGGCCAAATGGCTACGGCCCCACTTGTGCGGTCACGGCCTCGCGGGCGCATGTGAATTTTTAGCTCGCAGGTGCACGTGATTTTGGTCTCGCCCGCGAGTGTCTTTTGCTTCTTTTTGTGGCAGGCGCGCTACTTTGGGCAAGTCTTCGTGGGTCTCGCCCCACGCGTGTAATGCTCCCGCCAGGCGAAACGCTCGAGTCTCGCACGCAACGTACGAGTCTCGCACACGCAAGTAAGCCTCCCATCCATGCTTAATGTTCTGCAGGGTGGTCTGGTGCAGGGCAAGTGTGGGCTCAACAAGGCTGTGGAGGTTTTGGTGTGGTGCAGGCCAGGTGTAAGGGTGGTTGTTTTTTTGGTATAAGTTAAGGGTCCTCCCTGCGTGCCAAAAACTGTGCCCAAGCCTCGCCAAATTGGCACGTGAAGCGGCACTTGAGCGGTTTGCTTACCAGACCCCTCCCCCACCATGTGGGCTTTGCAGCTGGATGATGTGGCAGGCGCACCCGCATTCGCGTGCCAATTTGGGTTGTTGGCACGCAGCCGTCCTGGTCTCACAGCACGTGACGCTCAAAATCGCTCAAAAGAGCGCGCCTGCCACACAATCCAGCTCCAAAGCCCACGCGGCGGGGGGTGGGGGGGGTGCAAGCATTGGTGTGGGCGCAGTTTTTGGCACGCTGCCGTCTTGGTCTCACAGGAGCACGTGACGCTCAAAACCGCTCAAAACGGCACGCGCAGTACGCTCCTGTGAGACCAGAATCGTCTGGAGTCGTCGCGTGCTCCGGTGAGCCCAAAACCACTTGCTCAGATTCAGATGAGGCCCCACCCGGTTATGCTGACTCGTGCCAGCGTGTCACGTGCTGATTATGTCGTTTGTGCTGCACCTGTTCAACTGCGTTTGTTGCTTGATGTCAGGCTTCGCCGGTCTCCGTCCACTGGAGCACGCAGGTTGTTTGCGCTGACCCGACATGGCAAAACGGAGAAGAAAGGATGACGTGGCTCGAACACCGACCCTCATCTCCAACACACCAATCCGAGAGCCTCTAAGAAGCTGTCCTGTGTTGGTGCGGCCCCGATTCTTCATTTTCGTAAATTACTTACCGCTTTTGGACCCATGCCGTTGGTAGGGGTGATGTTTTCAGGGGACATATTAATAGGGAACCTGGCGTTGGATGTAAGTTGGCGCATTATTTGCAACCTGTGCTTCTCATTGGAATGTCCTGACTTGTGGGACTGTTGGCACAACATGTTTTTGCCATTTATAGTTTTCCACAACATGTAGTTTTGCTGGATTCCACATCCTTGGTTTTGGAGCGGCGGGGTTGTTCAAAGGCAATGCGCGAGATCCTTTGGGTTATGAAAGAATCCCCTTTGTAGAGCTTTCTGCAAACAGATGAAACAACACCTTGGCGCCATCTGGGCGGAGCTTGAAAGCCACATGTTCATCCCAAAATGCTAATCCCAAAAAACTTCCACATAAGCCTTGCTGACTCCCACTTTAGAATCAGAGATCAGGGTTTCTATCTTTACCTTGGCATTGAGACAAGCCCCGGGTAAACAAAAAACCCAAGGAATTGAAGCGGGTCAGGAGCCATCAGCTTTACGAAATGCCTCCTGTCAAGTCGCGGACTCACACCGTCTCAGCACGAGTTGGGCCGCGTATATCACTGTGGATGGCGCACCATGCCGCCTACAGCCCAGCAATGGTCTTGAGATCTGGGAGCAGCGGCGGGCCAATCTTGGAATGTCATCCTACCAGCAAAAGCCTGCGGCATCTCCAGGTCAAAAAGATTCACCATCATCCCCTTTTCGCTTTGCTTCCACCGCCACCAAAAAGTCCCTCAATAAGGCGTAGATGTTCTCCCACTTGCGATCAACCTTTCAACTTGTTCTACCTTCCTGAAAGCTGACGTGGCACTATGCCGTAGATCTTTCCACATACCAGAAACCTGCAGGGGGATGCAGTCAAACCGCCAAAATTGTCTGGGCTGGTGACAGGCGTGCTCCCAGCCTCAAGTGGATGATCAAACACCCAACCACAAGTTGCCAAGCCCCCTTCACCCCAGAAGGTTGCTTTCCTTGGCTTCCCCACAAAAAGCAGACATGGCCTTCCATCACTCGGACGGGTTCCACGCCCAGTTTGCAGACCATCCGCAGGCACGCCGGGTAGCGCTCGAGAGGGCGCTGGCCAGTTTCTTCAGGCGCGGCAGGCTTGAGTCCGGGTCTGCGGCCAAGGACGACTTTTGGTATGTCTTTTTTTCCGGGTGCCAGACCTAAACGGAAAGCCGCTATTTTTGCGGGCCCCCCATTTAAAGACAAATTTTGGGACCAAAAGGTTGCTGAGTCTTTAATGAACTGTTTGCGGAAAATGTGTTCCGAACTTGCTGGCTGGTCGTTTGGGGAGTTGCTTCGGGTGGGAGAAGCATCTTGAGGGTTGAGTCCCCATTTCCTTCCGCCATTTGCCCAGCTTTTGGCCGTTGAGTCCGACCCTGACTAACACATCGAGTAAGGAACCAGTCTTGCTTTTCCGCGGCATGGTGTGTGCGTGTATGTTTCTCCCGCGCGCTTGGTACAGTAGTACTTCCTTCGAACTCCATGGCCCGGTTGGCGTTTGTTTCCCAGCGGCATTTGCCAGGAGGCTGGAGGCAGCGGTTTCCTGCATGGTTGATTTGTAGAAAAGACTTGTTCCCGGGATGTCTGCGCGTCAAATAAAGGATGAGTGTTTCCAGCTGATCGGCATTTGTTTAGGATGGCACGCAGCTTCGTGCCGATCCATTTCAGAGAACATGTTTTCGTGCTTGAGCAAACATAGATGGACTGCGTGCCGCAACACGGACGAACAAGGTCCCGAATGCTTCAAAGACGCGTGAAAAATAGAAGAATCATAACAAAAACAACAGTAATAGTAATAGTAATAGTAATGGTAATTACTAATAATAATAATACTAATAGTACTAGTAATTATAATAGTAAACATAATGGTAATAATAATAGTATTAATCGTAGTAAAAGTATTTGTAGGAATGATCATAATAGTACTAAACAAAATATTGATAACAATAATAACTAATAATTATTATAATGATACTCATAATAATGATAACAATAATAAGAACAATAATAATCATCGCAATAATAACAATTATTAAAACAATGGAACATCCCCAAACTAAAACGTGCTCCCAACGAGGCTCGAACGGCTCACAGGTCTTTGTACGTGGACCTGGCCGGCGTGTGCCTCAGCTTCGAGCGGCTCCGCTTTGGGAAGGATGTGGCAGCAGTGCTGCTGAAGGCGAGTGGAATGATGGGTGGGTCGCAAACCAGGGGAACCCCCTCAAAAAAAAACAAAAACAAGGTGGTCTTTTTCCTGGGTCCCAAGGTTTGTCTAACGATTGGGATCAACTTACATTTTTGCCCTCGACTAAAATGATGAGCAACACAAACACATGTTGACATCCTGCGTTTGGAGTTGGAAGTGAACGTACGGCCTAGAAGCCTTTGCAAGCAGGCTAGAACCAAAAGCCATTGGGTTTTCGGCGCTGCTCATATGTGTTTGTGTTTGTTTTTCAGGGGGTGCAGTTTGAAAGGATCCCCTGTTGTTTCACACACAGCCTCATGGCTTTGTTCTTTCTATTACGGAACCACCCCAACGTTGGTTGGTGGGCTTGAGTCCCCACCTAAACACAATGCCCACATCAGGTACTAATAAAAAACAACTTCTTATATCGGTGTGTGTGTGTTTTAGAGGCCTGGCTTTCTTTGTTCAACTTGTTTTCTCCGAGTTGTCCCTTGAACAAATCCATTGGCAAGAAAGTCTGATCAATGCATGTGTGTGCTTTGTTTGTTTGTTTGTTTGCTTGCTTGCTTGTTTGTTTGTTTGTTTCTTTCTTTCTTTCTTTGCTTGCTTGCTTGTTTGCTTGCTTGTTTGTTTGTTTGTTTGTTTGTTTTTTTGTTTGTTTTTGTTTGTTTGTTTTTGTTTGTGTTTGTTGTTTGTTTTGGTTTTTGTTTGGTTGCTTGTTTTTTTTTTTTGTGTGTGTGTGTGTGTGTTTCTTTTTATTTCTTTCTTTTTTCGTGTTTGTTTTTTTGTTGTTTGTTTGTTTGTTTGCTTGCTTGCTTGCTTGTTTGCTGGTTCGTTTGTTTGTTTGTTTGTTTGCTTGTTCGTTTGTTCGTTTGTTTGTTTGTTTGTTTGTTTGTTTGTGAGTATCCTAGCGGGTGCCCGGCCAAAAAACTGAGTTGGTCTTTCACCTGGTCAAATCTTGTAGTGGATGAGTATCGCGTAAAAGTGGCTTTTTAGGTTGATTTATAGGATTCCAAGAGGAACACCAACGCCATTTTTGGGTTCCCATCCACATTAGCAACTGACAAAGGTTGGTAGTCTACTGGTTTTGGGGGTGGACATGAGGGGCCCATCCATTTTTTTCACAAAGAGGGGAATCGACGAAAGCTTGGGATTGGGCACACCATCTAAGCTGATTTGTGGACATTCGGGCGCGTAGCAACCACAGGTTTCAAGTTCCTGGGGCTTAAGGGGATGGATCCGTTTGGAGTGTTGTTGGTTCTTCCGTCTGTTTTTCTTCCAAAAAGTACTTTGAACTGGATAGTTGCCACTTCTCAGACTCCACCCTCCAAATGTGGCAACCTCCCCTTCCTTTCATTTCCCCGCAGAAATGCCAGTCTCGATCCCATGGCGGCACCCTGAGCCCCGTGCTTTTTTGGGAATGGCCGTTTCATTTTGTCTCAAAGGAATCGGAACCCACGAAATGGGTGGTTTCCTTTGGGTTCTCTTTTAATACCATCCAAAGAACTGATCCCCGCAAAAATGACACGCCCATTTTCGTGGTAAACAACAAGTTTAGGCTGTTTGGCCAATCCGATATTTAGATCTCGTCTCGTTTTGGCTTTCGCTTTTCTATCTCTGCCAGGCCGAAATCCGGCGGATCCCGAACCCCTTCCGAGACCGGATATAGCGCGCGCCAAAAGAAAAAGAGAGAGAGAGAGAGAGCAATGAAGCTACCGGTCGTGGACTTGATGGAAACACTTTGGGCATCAACCTGTGTCCTCGCCGGGTTCTCAAAACAGGGGTAATCCCTGGCCAGAAAGTCTTTTGCCCTTGCAAAATCCAAAAGACAGCGCCCCAGTTTGAGACAAAGGCGCCGAAAGGTAGTACTCGAACCGCTCTTTTAAAGGCCACATCTGGGTGCCAAACAGCCCATACTTGTGACTTTGCCGAGAGGGAAACCAAAACCAGCACCTCCCCAACCAGGGCTTTTTGGACAGTACTTGTAATTTTGGACATGGGACAAAGCAGTTGGGGGGGTACAGAACGGTTATTGTTGGTCCAGTGATGTTTTAACGGGAGATCTCTTGCGCCCTGTTGGATTGGAATCTGGGACAAAACTGGATCTGCAGGGCTTGTTATTGTTTTGTGTTTTCAGAGCCCAGAAAATCACAACCAGCATGCCCCAACAACTGCTTTTTCCCAAAAAAAACAGTGGTGGTTCCCGTGCTGGCAGCGGATTCCAACCCGAGAGGCACTTTCTCCCCTTTTTGGTTTGGTGGCTTGGGGACCCCAGGCCAAGCTGAAATGTCGAGCAAATCGGGAGCATCAAAAAATGGGTCTGTTCCTTGACGCTTATTGTTTTTCTGTGGTTTCAAAGGGACACCAAGAGGAGCACCACCATGTGAATATACATACATTAAATATATATATATAGGTGTATACACTATATATATATATATGTATATATATATACACATATATATATATATATACATATTTCTATATATGTATATGTATACACACTTGGGGGGGTCGCTTACAAAAGCCACACCCGTACACATATGTTGTTATTACGTAGACTGTTGGCGGGTCCCCAAAAAGAAACACACCCATATGGGAATTTGCAGGGGGGGGCAGCTCTTTGGGCTGGCCAGTGCCCATAAGAAGTAAGACGCATCAGCACCAGAATCGCTGGGTGATTCTTGTCTTGTGTCTCAAACTACGGGGCGGAACCTCACCTAGGGGTGTCCTGCAACAGACCTGTTCCTCTTAAAGGGGTTTCGTTGATGGGTATGTGGATGGAACGGTCCCAACTGCAGAAGCCTTGGCGCACCTGTTGCGGATCTGTCCGCTCCTTCGCAGCCGAAGAACGGCTCGGGAAACCCTTGCGGGACATCTGATAGCGCAGAGAGGGGGCACAGCCCCACAGCAGAAAAGGCCGGGCCTGTGACGCAGCTTTTGCAGTTGTCTTTGCCGGCCGGACGCAGGCGACCAATCATTGTGTGTTAGCCCAGTTCCGCCGTCTTCAAGCTTTTGTGTAATTGTGCGCGCGTGTCAAACAATTGGGAGCCCCAGATTCAATTATGGTTGTTTCCTTTTGGTTTCCCTTTAAAACCCAACCTACAAAGGGTACCCTCAAAAGACGCACATATTTTTTCGCCTGACTTGTTGAGACGGGTTTCCCTTGCACTAGGGTGTCCTTGTTCCATCTTTTCCCATTGGCCACTGGACAAGTACGTACGTCAAGATTCGGACCCATGACACATGCTTAGGTTCCTTTTTTTTTGCCAAGAATGCCATCCAATGCTGCTTCCAATACTTCTTCCCGCGCAAGTGTACTTGGTCGTTGTTGTTTTTCTTGTTTGGCTTGTTTTGCAAAATGGGTTTTAAGCGGTTTGGACTTACACCCCTATTCACAATCAAAGAGTGGCGGGCAAGCCACGAGGGTCAGCGCAAACATGTGATGAACGTTCCGCTTTCGCTTAAAGAAACATGCAACCTAAGGGTCCCTTTGTGAAGATATAATTTAACCCTTTGTGATCCCTTAGCACATAAGGTACCAAGGAACTCTCTGAGTTCAAACGCAGGCCCGATTTCCCCTGAAATAGGGAGCTGCAGTTTGATGTGCTTAACCACCCTTTTCACACCAACAAGCGGGTTCCGTCCCTCGTTAGAAGGACAAGTTTGCGTGTGTATCTTTATGTACCTTTTTGGAGTGTAGCCCTCTTGACAACCCATATGGCGAGTAGAACGTGGGCTTTTCAAGGTGCATTTTGTTCGCCCGGCCCTGACAGCACATTTGCTGGGCAGCCTTTGCTTGATGATTTTTGTACGATGTTTAGTGGGTGTGTCTATTTCTGTGCGTACCCTTTTTTGGGTTGTTTTTAAGGGAAACCAAAAGGCTTGAGGGTCCCCTAAAAGAAGACACAGCCAGTAGGTGTGCTGTTTCCCGGCTGTTCAGTGTCACCCTGTTCCCTTGCTTCGCGGGTTCCCCGCAAGAAGGTTTCCTTGGTGCTCGGGGTCGGTCACTGGGCTGGGTGAAACAACTGAAACGAAACATTTGGACCAGTGAATGAATCTTAAATAATTATCTCACTATTGTTGAAGTACGGTTTGAATAAACATTAAATTTGACCTGGTATATTCGTGCTTTGTAATGATCGTGAGTTAAATTATGACTATATAATCAAACGTGGTAGAATAGAGGAGATCCAACGGAATTGGCTTTATTTACGTACTTTAGTCAAAAAGAGTTGTTTTGGGCTGGATTTGGGGTTGGGAAGCGAGTCCTGTCGCAGGGCCGCGAAGATGATGCTTTGCATCCCTGACTCCTCGAGTTGTCAGCTGTTTGAGCGATCTCTATCGCTCATTTAATCTAGATAGAAACCAATCTACCACATTTCAGGATTTTAGTGGATGCACACAAGTTGCCAGCCTCATTCAGAAAACCCGTCCCCTGTAGAGGGTCCACAAAATCGCAGAAAAGGAAACGCCGAGGGCAACGACGCATAAAGCAAGCAGCCACATCCAACCAATTTCAGGGAGCCAATGGGTTGGGAATCCAGGCAACGCCACAGTGAGACCGGCGGAGCCAATGGATGTTGCCAAAAGAAACAGCTCGAGCCCCTTGTTGAAGGGAGATGCGACCACTTGGATGTGACCCAATTTTGAGAAACGGTTCCTTCGAACCCTTGAACATGGGTCAGTGTGTTGAACCGGATAAAGTGAGGGAGTGTATTGAAGCACCTTGTTTAGGTATTCCATAGCTCCGGGAAATTCAACGCCTTTGGTCTCGCCTTTTGCTTTTTCGTTCGACCCACAGGGTGCCCCCCCGAAATCACAAGTACCACCGAAGGGGTCATTCCCAGGGTGTTGTGAATGAACCGGAAGGGGATTCTTTTCCAGGAAAACCAACTCGGGGAGGGTTTTTGAGTTTTTGAGTCGGGGTCCTTGCGACTCATCCCCTGGCACTCGAACCGGTCGCACGGGGAAGTCGAGGGATGGCGTTCCTTCAGCCGGCGCCGGCAGTGGTCGGCCCGGTCTCGCTGACGGCCCTGGTGGGGTCCGGTCCTCGGATCCAAACTGGAGGACACCTTCCCATTGATGTTGGCTTTTTATTGGGAGCCGTCGTTTGGTTTTAAAGCCACACCAACAGAAACGCCATGTGTTTTTTTGGTGTTTTTGTTTTGTGTCTCTTTTTTTGGGGGGGTCCCTTAGAAAGACACGCCCAGTTTATCATCCCATGTGATCTTCCGAAGAGGGCAGCGTCGATGAGTCATCTTTCATCCTGTTCAGTGGCACCTTTATGCTTAGGCATGCTTTCGCTTTCTCTGTGATTCATTCCCTTAGGAGTCCATCGCGGAACAATAGAAACATGTCTTCCAGGACACTGCAGTCAAGTTCTTTCTCTCTTTGAGTGGGTGGCGGATTCGCCCGGCAATGCACTTGCGCCCGGGTAAGGACAATTAGCAAGGACAAGGGAGGAGCAGGGAAGAGGTAGCAGTTCCGTGGAGTTCTCTACATCTACTCTAAGGGTAGCTGGGGCTGAAATTCTCTGTAGTGGTTACCTCAATCCGTCATGTTGTGTTTGCATGGACTTGAGTGTTTTTTTTCTTTTTCTCCCGGCATCAACTGTGGCTTGCTCATTGCAAATTAGTTTACCTGGCAGATGAATCAAGGCCCGAATGTGCCCCTGAATCCTCCAGAGGAGAGGCGGACAACTCAATGCAATCCAGGTTGGGCGACCGTTGAAGAGATTCTCAAGTATGGGTTCCTTTCGGATGCTGCATCTCAAAGCTAGAGAACTTTCAAAAAAGCGCATGGTTTTTCTGTTGGCTTCCCTTTAAAACCATCCCAATAAGGGTTTCCCCCATTTATCATGATTGAATTGCTTCCGCCGCCACCCAACTGGGCGTTCTGATTCGTCCGCTCCTCGGAATCATTCGGGCTTGGGTTCGCATTCCAAGGTCACGGAATTTTAGAACCCGACCGGTTGCCCTTTGGCCCAGATGCTTGGGGTGCAACTTTTCTGTGGCCCAGGTTGGCTTCAAGGAGTCCCAGTGGACGACTTTTTTGGCAACACACGAGACTTTCTACGCACACCCAGGGAGCCTTTTACAAGTTTCGTCTTTGGTTTTGTTTTGGGGGGGGGTAGGACCAAACGGGGTTTGGACATTTTGCCCAATTAAATGAGCAAATCCCAGTCCTGAGCACCAAGTGCTGCAGGCGTGCCCTTTGGCATGCGGCACGCGTTTCAATAAGCCGAGGCTCATCGTGCTGGTCCACTTCGGGCTGAACGTTTTCATCCTGGGGAGCGTGTCCGACAAGTCTGTTATTGCGGACGCCTCAGAACTGTACCCCATTTCCATTTTTGTGGAGGTCGAGTGTTTCGCCGACCTATCTTTGGGCCCGTAAAGGAGAAAGTAAGGTCCAGTCGCCCCCCACAACTGACACCCTTTGTTGATGCAAGGGAAGAAATTGGGCGTGCCGTGTTTGAGGGTTTCCTGATCAAGTTGAAGGCAGGAACTAAATCTCCTTTCTAGGCGGTCACGTCGAAATGCGCCGAATATGAGGTGTGTACAAAGATGACGGTAGAAAGAGCTCTAAATCCTAGGTGTAGGCTCGGGATAGAACGTTGACTATGATCACTTAGTGGCAAAAAGGGGATGACATTGGGCTCACTCACCAAATTGCCACTGCGAGAGGGGTTGCACAGCAGAATCCCGCGCGGCAGTAGGGGATATTGATCCACTCGTGCGGTTATTCCACAAAGTTCAGTTTCATGGTACACTACGAAATAGGCTTCGGCTAAATTAAACTTCCAGTAGCCGAAAGCAATCCCGAACCCATGAACAACCAACAAATCCGCCCGTTGAACGCGGTCATGTTGCATGCGAAGGTTGAGGCTTCCTGTTGCCATATCTTGTTTGGTATTTGGTTGGATCTGGAGCCCTTCATCTTTTGGGAAGACATCAATGCTGCCACTCAGGACGGACAACTTAAAGGTTTTGCACGGAGAATAGCCACAAAGATGCTTTCAAATCCGCTGGCCTCGAAAGAATGGTGCAAGTGGCCACCACACACTTCATTTTCCCGAATGCTGATGCAGACACCGCGTCAAACAAATCCGAATTCGGGCTGGTGATGGGATGCCAGTGTTCAGTTGCGCAAGGTTTTACAGCTGTCCACTAGAGTTTCAGAAAATCCCAGAAAAGCGTTGAATGCTGTGGAGGAAACAAGGGGTGGGTGGGTGCCAACAGGGTTGTTGCAGAAACCAAGACCTTTGCAGAGGGCCTGCATTCCCCTGCCCGGCTCGGGAATCTTGGTAGGCGCCTAGGTCGATCAAGGCCGGATGCTTCGGGATCCTTCAAATGGCTATGGAACCCTCTCAAGAGTGGTTATTGGACAAACATCCCCCATGTAAACGATATCCACCAAAGATTCCCCAAGTAAACATCATGCCTCTTGAGCCACTGACAAATTTCTGTGTAGGCCCCTCTTGTTTGCTAGCGGCATTGTCAAGTATTCATACATGTTCTCCGACAAAGCCCCAACATGCAAAAGAAGCGCCATTCGGGGGGTGCAAATGAAACAAACAACAGGCCCATTATGGAGAGTTACCCAATTCAACCCCCCCCCCCATTTTGGCCTACAAAGAATCTAAGAAACCTGCTTCTATGAAAAACGAGGGATTGTGTGGGGGCCCAGTTGCCCAATCATAACCCCCCCCTTCCAATTTGGCACATTTTTGCTTGCTACGAAAGAAACCGAACACCACACATTGTGGGGGCCCTGTTGCCCAAGCAACCCCCCCCCCAAAAAAAAATAAATAAAAGAGAGAAAGGCACAAATCCTTGCTTTTGGTGGTATTTGGCCAATTTGTAGCATTTTCATTTTTTCCTTGTCAAGATACCAAACACCGCCCACTGCGGGGGCCCGGTTGCCCAATCCCAAAACAAACCCCCTCAACTTTGGCTTGCAAAGACTCACCGCAAGTTTGCTTGAAGGGAAGCCAAGACGACACCACAGCTCTTTAAAGGGAAGCCAAGACGACACCAACCAAAGGGAACCAAAAGCCCTTAGGGGGTTTCATCAAATCCAAAGCCCACTCGCGCGGTTTCACCTGGAGGTCTCTGGCGTGGAGATCTCCTCAACGCGACGGCCTCAGGGATTGGCAGAACCCGTCGAAGTTTTCGGGGGAAGAGTAAGGGCCCCTCCAAAAGTGGTCTGAACCCGAAAGTGGGGGGGGGGAATTCCCTGATCAAAAGCAGCCAGTCTTTTTGGTTTGCGGGTACCTATATGTTTGTTTGTGATTTTGAAGGGAATTCATAAGACAAGTCACCATTTTGGTTGGGCCCTAATCCTCTGGGATTCTCATTACCCTCCCTCCCGTGTCGCCATGGCACCTGACAGGGCGCTTGCGGAAACTGATCCTCCAGGTACCCTCACGCAGGCGCCAGGGCAACGTGGGAAGGCTATGTGTCCAAAAATGACCCCTAGCCCCAAATGGAGCTGATGTCCTTTCGCACTCAAATCCAACCAAAAAAAACAGGTCGCCAAAAACATACACAGCAAAAACGGAGGTGGGGTCGCCAGGTGATCCCTACTAATCAGCCGATTGATTCATCCTGGGTCAACATGGACTTTAATTGTTTGAGGACAATGATTGTTTCCCCGCTCACCAGCATGTAGGGAGTCTTTGAAACTCACCCATTCCTTTCAGCTCAGGAAATGGGCAATCAATTGAACTCTGTGTGATGGGGACTGTCCCTTCGCCTCCAGGCTTTATTTGGCGAGTCAGTCGTCTGGTGTTTGTTTGTCCTTGAACAGCTTTAGCATGCAATTTGGGCGCGCACTCCTGGAAGACCAGGTTTCTCGGCAAAACATAGCGCGCTCGGGCCCCATGACGAAGGTCCCACACTTGAGGATTCTTCTTTTTTTGGTTTGTGAGCCATACCCACACCAAACCTCCAGCTTCGTTTGAAAGGCGTGCATGTGTCCAATGGAAAAGTCAACCTACCCACTGGGGGGTTGTTGGGGTGTGTTTGTGGGGTTTATCTATCAAAGCAGTAATAGTAGTAGAATGGGACTAGGTCTTGGTTTTTGGATCATTTCCCAGTTTGGACTCGAAAGTGACGAGGCTTCAGTACGCGTTGGGCGCCTTCTGCCTACTTGGCCTGCCCTTGACGGTGCACGGAGGTGGGCTGGAACACGGGGTGGGTCAGTTTGTATTTTTCTTTGAAGGCCACACGGTTGCTGACGTTGAAGCTGTGCACAGGCTGGATTGGCATGCTTAGTATATAAGAAAACTTCCAAGCAAACAGACTACACACCAAATATGCACCATGATAATTCCTTTCTCTTTTCCTTCGGTTCATGAAAAGGAGCGATTTTCCAGGGGGAAAGACATCCCCGGTGGCAATTGAAAAGGCGCAGCCGCAAGTCGGAGTGCTCGCGCCCAGAACCTCCAGGCATATCTCCCCCTGGCCTCAGGCAATCAAATTGGGAGACCATGACCGGGAGGCCTTGTTGAACCGAGCCAGCGAGTCAACGGCAAAGGTTCTAAGACTTCTGCTGGAAGGCTCGCCACAAGGCTTTGCCATAGTGGCAGCCGCTAGTGTAGTTTGCCCGGTGGTTTGGCTGTCCGGATTCTCAGACAGACGCTGAACAGCTTGCGAATCGAACGCCTACCTCATCCGGTTCCGGAAAGCAGCCTACCACCAAAGGCAACGGCAAGCGGTCAGCAGGTCCTGTCTTTGTTTCACGTGCACTGTCAGCTTGACCTTTTCAATCCTTGGAGCGGTTTGCTTTGAGGATCGATACTTTAGTACCACTTTTTTTCTTTTTTGTTTCTTTCGAAATTCCCAGCTTGAAACAAAACACGGGCAAATCATAGCGACCGAAAACCGAGGTTGCGACCAAATACTCTAGAGGGTTCCTTTCTAGGGATCCCTCAATTCCTTTCTTGCGTGCCCCTTGCTTTTGGTTGGTGACCTATGCTTTGCCCAAAACTGCATGGGTGGGCGTCAAAATACGAAAATACGCCCCCTCCCCCCCATGAAAAGGCCCCTTACCAGCCCAAGGGTTCCCTGAACCACGTCGAGTTCACCCGCCCTTCGGCAGGTGTTGGCGCCGTCTACCGGGTGCCTGGCCACCTGCATGCTGGACTCCCAGCGGGAGCATCGGGACTGAAAAGAGGTTCCGGGCACTGCTGAGATGGCCATGGGTCAAAATCCTGTACCCCCAGTGAACAGTCCAATCCCCACTAAAATAGACTAAAACGGGTGGTTGGTTTTGACCCACGGCCAAATGTTCGTGCAAACACTTTGTTAAAACACTTTCGCAGAACTTCGTTGTTTCGCCAGGTTGGTTGTTTGGTCGAAACAAGACTTAGATGTGTATGTCATGGCTTTACTTTGCCGGCCATTCAAATCCCATGGGCCGTTTTCGCGGGATGAGAGTTCTTGATTGCGTTGCTGGCAAAGGCATGCACAGGGGCTCCAGTGTGCTTGCAACTGCGGGATGGACCTGGCTGTCGATCAGGCAAAGCTCAGTGAGGAACGCAGGCGGCGGATCTGCAATGATCAGCAATTCTTTCGGCGAGGAATTTGGCTGGCAGGCCAGAAAGTTTTCGGCGAGAAATCCAACAGACAGGCTCAATGATTTTCGGCGAGTTCCTGCGCGAGGGGCTCTCCCAAAAGTCAGGATCTCTCGGCGAGTTGCGCTGAGCGGCTTGGCTGGCTGCGAAGTACGAAAATCTCTCCTTCAGGCCCAGCTCCACCAAGCCCTGCTTTCGGAGAGGCCCTCGCAGAGGGGCTCTCCTTGAGAGGGGGGTCTGGCCGACTTTTTGGAGAGGCGAGTGCCCCCAAGTTTCTCTCCAAAAAGTCGGCCAGACCCCCCTCTCAAGGAGAGACCCTCTGCGAGGGCCTGTCCGAAAGCAGGGCTTGATGGAACTGGGCGTTCCTCACTGAGCTTTGCCTGATTGACAGCCAGGTCCACCCCGCAGTTGCGAGCACACTGGAGCCCCAGTGCATGCCTTAGCCAGCAACGCAATCAAGAACTCTCATCCCGCGAAAACGGCCCATGGGATTTGAATGGCCGGCAAAGTAAAGCCATGACATACACATCTAAGTCTTGTTTCGACCAAACAACCAACCTGACGAAACAACCAAGTTCTGCGAAAGTTCGTTGCATGTTGCTTGGATGTTAGGACTTTGACTTTTTGCCAACTAAGGGATTTTTCATTAAACCACTAAAAGTTTAACTTTTAGAAGGGGAGCAGAAAGCAACCGAGAAAACAGGGGCGCATCATCAAAGGGCACGAAGCACACAAATCCTTTCCGGCCCCTTTCTAAAAGTGTGCGCGGAATCGACAAATCTGTTGCCAAACCGTACACTGAAGGTGCCAGAGCAGAAGGAATCCCAGAAGCCACCAGAGGAATTTTGCCCGGTTTTTGGGGTTCCTTCAGCAAATGTTCAGGGCCCCCAGTGAACATCCCAATCCCCACTAAAATAGGTGGGTGGTGGACCTACCCCAAAAGGACAGCCAAATGGCAATCAGGTTAGGGAGCACCCGCAACCTTCTCGTCCCATTTGCAACCGATTGGAAGCCCACCCCTTGCGCATGTTGCTGGGGCACATTCCCTTTGGAACTCTTTCTTAACAACTTCATTTGAAAGTTTGGTTGGGTGTTCGATCACTTTGACACTCTCCCTGAGTTCCTGAAACTTGCACTTTGCACTTTTTGGGGAAGACAATTTTGGTGGGAAGCAAGAAGTTTGGGCTTTCGTTTTGCCAATCAACTCCAAGAAGTGGTTTCACCCGGACCCTTGCTGATGGCAAGATATGGCAAGGGTGTCCATTTTCCCCTATGAGCGGGCCGCCAGCCCCCTTTCCTTAGGACAATCACGTTGGAGTTTCACCGGGTCAACATTTGGCAGAATCTACATGTCTGCATTTTACTACTGAGAAATAGACTCTTTGGGTTGGGGTTGAAAGTTTAAGCAATGAGAAGCCCCACTGAAGGACTCTTCAACTGTTACTTCCACTAGTTTCACTCACTCCCCGAGTTCCTGGACTTTCAGAGCTTTTTGCGAAGACCATTTTACTGGTAAACAAAGAGGCTTCAAAACTTTTTGTTGGCCAATCCACTCGATCGGACGTGAGTCCCATCGAACGCCCTCGGGCCTTGGCGAGACCTACCTCTGGTACCTCTTCGCCTTTCTGGCCGCGGGCGCCGCCTGCCTCATCTCCGTGGCGCCGCCCTGAGCGCCCCGAGCGCCGCCCGTCGCTCGGGTTCCCTTGACGCGGGGCGGTGTGTTAGAAAACAGCACCCGGCGGAGCCCAGGCAAGCCACTATAGTACCACCCAAATTGCCATGGCCCTTTTGGGTTTCAAGGGTTTTTTGGGGTCACCTATGGGAAATGAAATCACTGTGGATACCCAAACAATCAAACGACACGAGGGATGTTTGTGCGTCCGCCGAAGGTTTTGGTTTGGGTGCTTGTTTCGGGCGATTTGCTCCGCGCCGCCACGATCGGATGGGAGACATGGTGGGACACCGGAATGGCGAAGGCGTTCTTTGTGTTGGTTTATCTTCTTGAGGATGTGTGTTGAGACGCAGGTGACCCCGTCTCCTGCTCTTAGCACATTTCCAATAGGATGGAGGTTGCTACAAGCTGCCAAAAATGGGGACTGGCCTCAATGGGAATGCTGGAAGACTATACCGTCAGATAATGCAGACCACAGAAGCATCCAGAACGCATGAAGGTGTGCAAAACTAGGGTATGCCTTCTTGGATGGCATTCAGAGCCACCAAAAAGGAAACCAATCCTGCGCAGCCCCCTATTGTCCAAAAGACCCGCATTGTGCCTTTTGGCCATTTTTTGTTGGTTTCCCCAAAGGACACTTCCCCTCTTCAGGTCCCATTGTGACGTGCTCTTTGATTTTTCGGAGGTGGTTGCAACGGGGTGTGATGTGTGTCTGTGTGTGCGTGTGTGCGTGCGTGCGTGCGTGCGTGTGTGCGTGTGCGTGTGCGCGTGCGTGTGCGCGTGCGCGTGTGCGCGTGCGCGCGTGCGCGCGTGCGCGTGCGCGTGCGCGCGGCGCGCGCGCGCGCGCGCGCGCGCTGCGTGCGTGCGCGTGCGCGCTGCGCGCGTGCGCGTTGCGTGCGTGCGTGCGTGCGTGGTGCGTGGGTGGGGTGGGTGGGTGGGTGGGTGGGTGGGTGTGTGTGTGTGTGTGTGTGTGTGTGTGTGTGTGTGTGTGTGTGTGTGTGTGTGTGTGTGTGTCTGTGTGTGTGAGTGGCTGTGTGGGTGTGTGTTTTTCCGGAGTTGGTATCGTTTTTGGGCGGCGTGTTGGCGCAAAGCCAACCCGAACAGGCTTGTTGCCAACATAATAGATCAATCATGGAGAGTTAAGTGGCACTGAGGCCGATGGCTGGTTTTTTTGGCACGGGAAAGACCACAATCGGCCTGTTTGCTCCTGCAATCTCGTGTAAAGGATTGAAGTTTGGAGACACCTTTCCTGTGGCGTTTCCCAACCATTGGACTTAGAGTTTTGGAGTGAGAGAATTCTGACATATCCTGGGTGATTTTGAGGATGTCACTTGAAGCCCAGTTCAACGAAAAAACAAGCACGTGCCTAAGCACCACCTCCCCTGTCCCCCAGCATGCCAGAAAATGCTACGCCACATATCCGGAGACCGCTCCGTTTCCCCAGACAAGGGAACTCGGTATGGGGAAGAATTTGTCTCCTGATTGTTTTCTTTTTCTCCCAGGGGCTGGAAGTTGATTTTACATATTTTCTCTTTTAGTGGGTTCGCTCAGCCCCAGGCAAGATCCCCTTTTTCTGCACCGGGTTTAGCCTTTGGGGTTCATTATACATGGAAGACTAACACGGCCAAAAGTTGAGGTTCTTGTCTGAGACAAGCCATGGGTACATGCAAATCCGGGTTCAGTTCGTTTTTCCTGTGGATTCCCAAAAGGCGAGAACGGCACCCCCTCAGTTTAAGCGGAAACCACCCCCTCACGGCCCCCAGCGTTTTTAAGCTGGGGACGAAGAAACAGATGGAATGAGAGCAGGCAAGAGCCTATCATACAGCCACGCGAATCTGCTTTGTATATGAGTGTTTGTTCATGAATTGCGCCATGGAAGAAAAGAATCATATCTTCAATCGGTACTCCCACAGTCTGCATCATAAACACCTTTATACATATTATACACATATAAATGCTGAACATTCATCATGAGCATGCATTGTACATGAAAATTAGTCAATCGAGAGTTAAAGATAGAAGACGCATTTCGGAATCCATACATACATATATATATATATGTACAGACTGAACCATATGATTTGGTGACCCCCTTGGCTTTCGGTCCTTTTTGCCTGGTCGTTAGGCGGTGCTGCAGCGGCCTTGCCACACCCGGGAGCCCACCGGTGGTGACGTGCTGGTCAGGAGCCCCGGGAAGTCCTCCAAACCGAGCCCCAAAAACGGCGCGTGTTTCCCGTTGTGAGGCTGCCCGACTTGCTCTTGCCTACCCTGAAAAAAGCGGGGTGAAAGTAGATGGACCAATTCCTGCATTTTGATTCAGTCATTGCGTTGATTTGATCAGATGAGAGGATCACTGCAGCATAGTTCGGCTACAGTGTTTGGGCCAGGTTGGCTCGTTTGTTTGGCGAGCTTGCTGGCTTGCTGGCTTGCTGGCTTGCTGGCTTGCTGGCTTGCTGGCTGGCTGGCTTGCTGGCTTGCTGGCTTGCTGGCTTGCTTGCTTGCTTGCTTGCTGGCTTGCTTGCTTTCTTGCTTCTTGGCTGACCAATGCACTCTGGGACTGAATTCTGCAATGCCACAGATGACCAAAACAGCTATGCTTTTTGCTGGACAAAGCATCCAAGCTCTTCTTGACCACTGTTTCTCACCCTTTTCGCCGTCCGCGTGGGTTCCCCCATGGCAATTGGGCAAGCATTCCCCTTCACAGCTTCAGATTTACATGGACCACCAAACATGGCTATGTCTTTTGATACAGAACTCAGTGAAGAGTGGTTGGTGAGCGTAAATCTCCACCCAAATGATATTCACCAAAGGGTCCCAAATTAAAATGCAACCCATATGTGAGGAATCTCCATTTGGGAAATGGACCTTGGGTCGTGAATCGGGCCAAAAAAAAAGTCCTTTCTGATTTCTCCGGCGCAGGTCCCAAATCGAGCCCTGGGGTCGCTAGCAACACGCACGAGGCTTTTGCTTGGGGAATTGTGTATTTCCCGTTTGTAAATTTGAACAAATTGCCCAGGTCTTTCTGAGGCTGGTTAATGGAATAGCTTCTGTCACTCCCTTCACTATTGATCTTTGCTTTGCACACATCACCCAGAGGGCCCCCTTTTGGAATGGCCAAGGCCAAAAGGGAGCTGGTCAAAGGCCTTAGGCTGGTTTCCGAGAATTAGCCAGATGAACCCCCAATTCGAGATTTGATCTGAAGGCATACAAGCACCTGCCAAACAGCCCATTGTTAATTGTTCCTAAAAGGAAATTAAAAGGGGATGACTTTCACAGCCAGAAGTGGCGGTTTCAATAGGAGCCACCAGCAAGTTACAATTTTTGAAGGGGAATCCAGTGCCCCCCCGTGGATGCCGGGCTGGATTCGTCTTGGTAGGTTGAACTCAAAAGAAGCTGAGGCCACTATGGTGTGCGGCCTGCCCAACTTCACCAGCATGGTCTTCCTGCCGATGCCTCGGAGGGGCGAAGACAAATAGTCGTGTGTGTGTCATGGTTAGAGGACCAGTCCGCTCCATGGGGAACCGCGGATGAACAATCCCATCTACCTTTGTTGGGAGGTCTGACCAACAGAACTGATTCCCATTTTGGGGGGGCGAAGGGGATTGTGCCCTCTACTTCCCGGGTGCTGCGCCGGGTCACAGAAGCCTTAAGGGGGAAGGCACAATCAAGCGCCTGCAACTTTACGCCGTTCAAAGCTTGTCGACCGTCGAGATGGTCGCATGCGGCCGCGCCAAGAATGCTTAGGGCGCTCTTCCTCATCGTCGTGAGCGCCAGACCGGCCTGTTTCCAAGCCTCGGTGCTGCTCAAAGTCAGGGAACCCCAAAATCTGGGCTGTTTCCCTAACCAATTCATGGGGTCTGGATTCATGGGGTCTAGATTTGGGGGTTTTTGGCTATCTCGAATTATCTCGAAGATGTAGGTCAGGTTGAAAGCAACTTGCATGTTTGGGGTTTGTTTCTGCATTTTTTGTCATTTGTATGATGTGTGTCTTCATGAATGCCGTGCAATTTTGTTGTTTTGCATTTGCATTTTATAAATATATTTGTTAAAATGCTGACGCATGATGGTCGGTCATTGTTTTGTTACTGCATTGATCTTAGACTTGATTGCATCGGCTCGTAGCAATCGGGGGGCGGTGATGATGTCAAACAGTGTGTTCGTCGCGTTGCCTTCAGCTTCACCAATTTCAATCAATGATGTTCCGAATATATCATCAACCGAAATCCCTTCTGATCAAGAGCATGGTGGAAGATGCGTACAGAAGTGACTGGACAGACATGGACCTGCATTTGGAAAAGGAGTGGGCAAGATTTGCGTGTGTTGTATGTTTTTATATTTTTGCATATTTTCGCATATTTTGCACTATTTTGCATGTGTTTGCACTTTTTGCATTTTGTTGCATGTTTTTGCATTTGTTGCATCCTTTTGCATTTTTTGCATCTTTTTGCACATTAGGTGCGAAAATAAGATAATTTCAAATAATTTGAGATAAACTGAGGTAAGGTCTAAACCCCATGGATCTGGGACCCCTAATATCATCAATGACTGTTCCAAGAAGGGAATCCTCAATCTGTGTTTGTGTTGGTATTTTGAGGGTACCCTGTTGACCTTTTGTTTTTTTGTTTGGGGGGGGGGATGCCAAAGGAAAGCATCATTTTTGCGGGTCCCCCTATTTAACCTCTTTTGGGGGACCCCCTTTTTGGTCTCCATGTAAGATGTCCGAAATCCCACGCCCCAATGCGGATAGGTTGTCCGCTCAAGACTGGCCCCCCCCTTTTTTACCCCAAGGTTCTAGGAGCCTTTTTCCGTCCAAAATTTGTCCCTGAAATCTTGAAGGCAAACCCTATTGCATGGCTTTCAATCTGACAGGCTGTGGAGGGTTCCCCCATACAGTTGCGCGTTGGTTTCTCCTGACCGCCCAAGAACTGGGGGGGGGATGGGGGCTTCTCTCATGGCAGGTCTCAAGGGTGTGACCGAATTGCTCCATTAGGCCATTGGGGGCCTTTTGCAATCAAACGGGCTCTCCATGAAGGGAGAGTCCAAGGGTCAATGGGTTGAGTCCCCGCCTCTAGGAAGAAAGGCTCAAAGCTTGTTCTCAAACTGGTGGACCCCGTTTTGCTTGCTATGGATCGCTATCCAGCTACAGCACTACTGGGCGAGTTCCTGAGCCTTGGCTTGATTACCTGGTAAGTGGTGGTTTGAACTTAGGTCCTGTCAAGACACATGATCAGGCCCTCTCAACTTCGAGGGGCATTAGAAGTCAAACTGGCTTGTGCAAGAATTGCATTCTGCAAGAATTGCAATCTTAGCGTTAGCAGAACCATCACCTGGCTGACTGGCTCCATCACCTATGCCCTCAACAGATGACACGGGTTCATCTTGCTCGACTTTCCCGAGGCGAACTGCTGTCTTTCTTGTATGCGGCAACTGGACTCATGCCAGGGGACCGACTGCCCACGCCCCTCGTCAGTGAATGGCTAACTGCTATTTGTTCCATAGCTATTCATTTGCGAACAGGTCAAGTGATGACGAACCTGGATATTGCTGTTAGCCCTAAAACGCCTTTGGGTCACCTGAGGTGGCGCTTAATGTGAGCTATGGAAATGGAGATGCAAATGAAAGCCCCTGCCTATTTAGGGGACCCCTGCCCATTTTGAGACCCACACACTATGGCCAAACCAGGGCTTGCGTCCGCACCCCAAAAAAGCCTCCGACAGCGCCAGGTGGCCATCTACTTGGTGTGGTCCCTGAGCGTGCCGGCCTCACCCACATGGGGTGTGGGGAGTTGGGCTCCCATGTTGCTTCCCCTTTAAAGAGGTCCTTGTGTTTTGGCATTTAATCGTCAGCTTTTGGTTGCCAAGCTGAAGTGAGTTTCCTCTTGGCTGGGTGATGTTCCGGGTACCAACCTTGTTACGTGGAGCCCAAAAGGACAACTGCCGAAACATGGGGTCTTCAAAGAGGCACAAGCCCGTGTGGCAAATCAACCCAAAACTGTGATTACATGGTTGTCATTCCCATGGCGATGCTGTCACTTTGAAATGGATTCCCTTATACAATGTCGCAGAAGATGCCAAAACCCACATGTTTCACCCCAGATCTCTTTTTTCTTCGATTCAAAACGAAAGCTGCCATGTGCCGAGGGTCGCCTAGTTCTCCAACAGCTGCAGCAAAAGTTACAGGCTGCGGTCCGTGGAGCTCGCCCGCCTTGCAGTCACCAGAGACCCCAGCCACAGAAGAGGATCTCCCGGTGTGGCGCGCTTGATCCTCCCCAAGCAATGGAAGGCCTGGCCAAGCATCGGTGGCGGCAAAAACTGGTCCTGCCCAACCCGGACATCTATGCAAGGACATCTGTCCACGTGGTCGCCGTGAGCCGTGACCAGGTTCAGACTTTTTGCCGTTTAGGGTGGTTTGGGGGGATTTGTGACAGGTTCCGCCAAAAGCTTAACATTTAGAAAGGGATAACAAACCACTAGAAATGTCTACCCTTGTGCATGGGATTTTGGTGCGACCCTGCAGAAAGCACAGGGGGAATCGATTGGGAGTATGCAAGTTTCCAATATTTTTTCTAGGCCTCCCTTTTTACCACCCAGCCCTGCACAGGCGTTGTTTGCACCACTCTTTGTGAGACCGCCTTGTTTGACATGGGGTCTTACACACCCCAAGAGCAGGGTTTACTGGGCTTGCAAGCCTTGTGTTTCAAGTGAGTTTCCTTTTGATGGGGCGATGTTTAGAAGGGGACATATTATTCTATTTGAACTTCCCATCGTTGCAGGGATCCTGCTTTTCGAAAAAACATAATAATAATGCGAACACGGGAATCTTGGTGGATTCGGGAAGGAAGGATGGGAATGAACAAATGGGATCCTCAATATCGGGAGCCCATGGGAGCCATGGTTTCCCCACGCTGAATTTCCTGCAGTTTCGGGTGCCAACTAGCAAATCTGTTTCTCCAAATGTTCCCAAAAGCAAACCCGGTCAATTCTCCCAGCCCCTATTTGGGTAATTGACTATGCATTTTAAATCGGAGGAGCCCCACAAAAATGGTGGCTTCCCTCTGGGTTTCCTTGTAAACCAACCCCAAACAGGCGATGACAAACCAAAATAGGGGTACACAGAGATGGTTGTCTAAAACCATTCAGCACCCAGTTGAGAGGCCAGCTTTTGCCGGCCCCCCAAGCAGTGCACGACATCTGAGGAGAACGTCCAGAGGCGTTTGGAGACGGACCTCTTCAGATACCAGGCTAGGGCAGTTCTTTGGGGCTTGGGGCGGGGGGGTTGGCGGCTTTGGGCGTTTGGGGGGGGGGGGGGTGGAAAGAAATTGTGATTTTGAGGAGTTCAAGAAAGGTGTTCAGTGGGTGTGTCTCTCTGTGTGTGTGTTTTTGGCGGGTATGTATCCCTTTCAGCTGGGTTCTAGGGTAAATTCGAGGTTTTGGGGAGGGCTTCCCTTCCAACTCGAACAGCCAACAAGAGGTGTCCTACTTGCCTTTGTTTTTGGAAGGGTTCCTTTTCAAATCAACCAAACAAACCGGGTTTCTTTTTACTTACATGGCGCCCTTTGTCGTGTTTGTCGTTGTGTTTTGTAATTATGATTCTTATCCGGGGGTAGGGTTTGGCTTTCAACACACAACAGAGTTTCATTGTCTAATTGACCCAGGACGCACTGTTCATTCACCATATCAAGCACGGCCATCCAACTTGGGAGCCTGGGGTACGCAGAAATCACATTTTCAGATCCTGTTTCATATTTATTCGACCCCAAAATTCCAAAATAGTTGTGAGTGATTCCAAAAAAAGGGGCTCCCAAGGCTTTACAGATGAGCCTTGTGCCTTGGTTCCCTGCCCTCTTCCAAAAGGGGGGCTAGGGCAAGAAATAAAGACTCGGGGGTCAAGAGCCAAGCCCAATGACATCCCATGACCCTTGCTCAGGCGCTGATTGAATCCGCAGCTTCAAAACTCCAAGAAGCAACTGCCTCTCTCTTGGTTGGTGTTTTTTTTTGGGGGGGGGTTTAGGCTGTTTTCTCAGTTGTAATGAGACTGGGGCCTTTCGTACCTGGCGTGTGTGTCTTCCCTGACATCCTGGGCTTTGTGCTTTTTGGAAAGACCATTTCGCGTTTTCTCCCTCAAAAGACAACCGCTCTTGTTTTTTTTTTCCCCCCCTCCTCCGCGGGGGCAGTCCACTGAAGTTCTCCAACACTATGTTCCTGTCGACGAAATACGACGCATACGAGTTTTCGCTCCATATCTGGGCAAAATGCTCGGGTGTGGAGGACGTGGCTTTTTCTGTGCAGCCCACCCAATGGATCCCAGTTCCCGATATAGGTAAACTAATTTTCCTAGTTTCAAGGGCATGGCCCTCTTTCCAAATATCACGGAAGTGGACAGGATTTTCAAGGACTACCGTCTTGAAATGGCCCCAAAGGTCCACTTCCATGATTGTTGGAAAAAGCATACTCCTCCATGGCTTACCCACTCCACAAGGAAATGGAATCACTGGGCCAGAGATCCATCATGACATATTTTTTGCCTTAAAAGCAGCCCAAGCCCCCAGTCCGATCAGTTCGGCTCTTCGGTCAAGGGCTTCATCCCTCCCCCCTGGGTGTGTTGGTCTCTTGGGAGGCCTTTGTTGTGCCGCGAAATCGTGGATTCCATGTGGCTGTGGGTCAGAATCCAAATCGTACCCCCAGTGAACATCCCAATCCAACCACTAAAATAGGTTCTAAAATGGGCGGTGAATTCACCTACCCACCAAAATGGTAGCATTGGTTTTGACCCACAGCCATTTCAATCCCCACTAAAATAGACTAAAACGGGTGGTGCACCGAAAACCCCAAAATGGGATCCCATTGGTTCGTTTCAGTTCCGTCGACTCGCCGTAGCTGCAGGAGCCTTTGCAGCTCAAGGCGCAGCTGGGCGAGCAGGCCATGCAGCAGGCGGAGCGGTTGGGGTGCTTCGCGTTTTGCGCCCTTCGAATCGAAGGTCAGGCGGGGTTGAAGGGACATGCAAGCGTGTTTTTTTTTTGCACCTACTTTGACATATATCGAAGTCGGTGTCTTTTCGGAACAGGGGACGGGTAAATGTTTCATGTTCCAGACCCCCTCGTTAGTACCGCAGTTGAAAAAGGAACCACCATTCGGCGAAACTCAGGCCAACTATGAACTACAAGGGGCTGAGGATGTACACACTGTATCATCTTGTGAGCATGACTTGATTTGGTTTTAAAGTCCCCCCACTCATAGTTGCATTCATTTAGGCTCTTACAATACCTTTTTGGTTCAGATTTCCTCAGTTGTAAGCCTGTTTGTTAAGCCTTTGGTTTCCGCTGCTCGTGAATTTTCGGTCAAGGTCGCGAAGCTTGTCGTGTTTCTTGTGGGGGTAAAACTGAGACCGGTTCTATGCCGCTTTCTTTCCGGAGACCCCCCAAGATGCTGCCTCTTCAATTTTTTTCGTTTGAACCCGTGGCTTTATGTTCACAGCGCGGGATCGATCCCCCATCTTCGACCGGTTTTGGGCTTGTGGTGGTTTGCGGCCCTAGAATCTTCCAGTCCTGCCGTCTCCCCGCAGTCTTCCGTACTTGGCCGAATGCTTTGCTTTCCTTACTTGGCCGAATGCTTTGATATCAACTAAGGTTAACCCAGACCCCACTCAGGAGGTTTACACCCACCCTTAGCTAGGTTTTTGTTTTTCTATCCCCCCCGCAACCCGCATTGTTTTTTTTGATTGATGGTAGCCCTAGCTAGGTGTTTGAAAGGCCAATTCCCCCCCCCCCCCCCATTTTGGGCTTGTCGTATAACAGGTGCGCCCGCAGGCGGCTTTCTTAAGACTTCCTTTTGGTTCTTCGCGCTTCCCGCAGCTTTTGATGGCCCCCCCTCCCCCGCCATTTTTTTTTTTCATTTATTGTTGTGGTAGGTGTCAAAGGCCAGCCCCCCCCCCGCCCTGCCCCCCCCCCCCCAATTTGGGCTTTTGTGTGACGCGAAAGGCCAGCCCGCCATCGGCGCGCTTGACACATGGCCCTTCGGCCAGGCACGCCAGGCGGCGGGCAGCGGCAAGAGCGCGCACCGCGGCGCCGGGGGCCCAGTGGGTTTCCGTCTCAAAAGGCCCAAGCGATGGAGACAGGCCTTAAGCAGGGCTCCTTAAAAGATACAGTTTGCCCATTTGGAACATGGCTTCTTCCACCAAAATAAAGGGAACCCACCATTTACAAGGCAATGTTCAGGTGCATAATGTAAGGATCCCTGTTATTTAGCTTGTCCCTTTTTGAGGGACCACACCTTTGCTCGCTTGAAACTTTCTGTTTCTCTGGCCAAGATTTCCGCTCAGGAACTGAGCTTCCCTTTTTGAGGTGATGTTTGCTGTGGGGTGACGTTGAGAGGGGACGAATGAGGAGCTCAGCTTCCTGACTTCCTGGCCGCTTTTCTTAGGCGTCGGGTCCCATTTCGAGGGACTCGACCCCTCCGCTCAGTCATTCAATGGCTCTGACCTGAAACGGTGCCGAGCTTTGTTTGGGGCGTTGGTGTATAAGGGCCCAACTCAATGCTAGGGACATATATGTGTATATATATATATATATGTAGTTCTATACAGGTCTACTTTTTCTCTCTCCCTCTGCCTCTCGCTCTCTCTGTCTCTCTCTCTCTCTCTCTCTGTATATATATATATATATACACCCATTTGTATAAGGGCCTATATACAAGTACGTGTGTAGAATTGGTTTGTGAGATACTGTGAAATAGCAATGTCCTGACATAGGACAATGATGTGTGTAGCTGTTGTTCACCAACACTGGCTCGCCTTGTCAACCGCATTGTCCAAGAGATGGATGGCGATGCATAGATTCCATCATTTCACTGTCAACCACGAGAGGTAGCAGTTGGGTTTCGGCTCATGTTTTCCGTACCCACAATAGCAAGTGTCAGTACAGTTGAGTGAAGGTAGATGGGTGATTCCCTGATGTTGAAGCAGTTGTCCCCTTTCTCCAAATTGAGGAATTTCACCTGGTGTGATAGTCCAGGAAGCTCAGAGGATATCCAAGCATGGCTTCAGCCTGTTGCTTCCTTCAATTGGCACTCCTGAATCACGGCTTATGTTCAGCCCGATCTGAGGGTTGTGGGAAATAACTTCTGTGATACCACTGGAAAGCTGTTTCCGCAACTATTTTGGCACAAGGGAAGGTTCTGTGTTGTCCGATGCATCAACACTTGGAGGGGAGTTTTCTTACTAATGGGTCCATTTATGTGATTCCTTCAGGTCCTGGGAAGGGAGTTCGGAGCAAAGAGGTCGTTGATGATTGCAAGTGTTGGCATGAATCCAAGAGGCGAATTTGAGCATGTAAGTCATGGATTGAAGTTCCTGTGACTCCGGCTAGACCTCGGCTTACACCCTGAATTATTTAAGGGTCTCCCTGTGCGGGCCAAAACATCCAGACGATCAAATCCAAGTCACCGCTGCTGATTTTTGTTCGTGAGTTTCGACCGTTGCCACCGATCGGAAGTGACTGAAACGATCGAAAGCCCAGGCACCCCATCTCCCCAAGAACTGCACTTTCCATTTCCAAAATCCCCCCCGCCCCTCTCGGGTACTGTTCAAGCAGTGGTTGTGGCCCTTGGAGATTGAACCCAAACCCAGTGGATGATGTGCTGATGGGCTTCGTAGGGCTGAGTCAACCCCGTGCAAGGAAGTTGGACCGCTGTGTGTGTAGTTTTGAGGGCAATTACCCGCTTCAGCTTGGGTTCAAAGGGAAACAAAGGAGAGAGACAACCGAAGCCATTTTGTGGGTCCCTCTATTTTGGCACAAATCCACACTTAGGGAGCCATGATAATGACCCACACAGGTTTGACCATGATGCGCGTCAGAATCTCGCGAGCGATGTTTTAAGGGAAAACGACCCATGCGCCTACACAAAAGAACTCAAACAGCCTGAATTCCAAGTTTCCCTCAAGCAATCCACTTCTTAAATCACCCAGTTTGTTCCTACGTTCGTCCCACTGCACCCACTAGCCCAGATTCCCAAAATTCCCCAAGGGAATCTTGATAACCCAAAATTCCAAAGGCCAAGCAGGGGATGAATGCATGTTTCAACCCCTTCCCCCCCAAAACTTAAAACTCGACACTGTGCGTGCCGGAGGGGATCCCCGGCGCGCTTTGGAACAGCGTGGCGCTGTGAGAGGAGTCCAGTGCACTCGGCAAGCAGCTTTGGTCAGGCGAAATTGTTTGAGGCTCGGTACACGGTTCAGGTTGCTTCAAGGAAAAGCCAAATGAAAAGCCACCATCTTGGGGTTTGCCCTGTTTTGACACACCCAAAGGGGCTTAACAGGTTGGCATTATTATTGCCATGGTTTGCCTGCGTTTGACATCAGGTATTTTTCCGGCCTTCACCTGGAGTTGTTTTTGCATAATGTAAGGGTCAAGAATGGCAGGTCCTAGTTGAGCAGGCTTATAGCATGCTTGGCGTATGTACTGTAATCTTACCGCGGCTGAGTTTCATGTCCTGCAGATTGTCTAACAGCACTGGGCCCGCTGTTTACATGCAACATTTAGAATTTGGATCAGTACCATCAGACATGGTGCGAGTTGCTTGACAGCCACAGCGAGTTCGACAGATTGGTGGTTGAAAAAGCTTCTAATTGAAACGCAGGGCAAACTATGGCCGTTGACAGTATTGGCTGTGTGGCTTGTAGGGACGCGCAAATGAGCAGGGAGTAGATATTTTACACACAGATGGGCGTGTCTTTTGTTGAGGGTAATGTCCTTTTGTGTCTTTAAGGGGAAGCCAAAAGGCACGATCTTGATCAAATGCAAGGATTCCTGGCACCAGCCAGGCAAGTAAACAGCCACGCGCAAGACTACATGGGAATCCGTGCCAAACATTTGGAACCCCTCTGTTTTGAGGGGTATGATGTCAACCCCAAACAGGAGGTGGAAAATGTGGTTCTCCAAAGTATCCCCAAAAAGCGGGTCGTGGGAGCAGGAGGTTGGTTTCATGCTGGGGCTGTCCCCGAAGAGGTCTCGACCGACTCGAGTTCGTGCATGTTTGGTGAATTTCGGATGGTTGCTTCCGTTGTGGAGTTTGTTCAGGCCTCAGAAACAAATCTTCATTCTATGTCCAGTGGACCGGTGGGTTTTGTCACAGCGGACTCTGTGTGGATGGCCTTGAGGGGCCAACAAAAGCAAACAGGCCCTTTTTAGGAGCCCGCTATTTTGAGAGGCCCAGAGGGGCCAGTGAGGGAGTGATTTCGCAACCTGCAATTTACTGCAATTATGCAGGGGTGTGTCGGCCATGGTTCAAAACAAATGGTGCCATTTTGGGATAGGTGCACCACCCATTTTAGAACCTATTTTAGTTGGGATTGGGATGTTCACTAGATGTTCACTAGGGGCACGGGGTTTTGACCCACGACCGTGTGGATGTGATTGGATCACGTGCCCGCTCATCGCCATGACAGGAGGACCAGGCCCCGCCTTTCTCAGGAGCTCGAGGGAAGCCCCATGCAGCTAGCACGAAGGGGAGAAACAAACTGGAGCGAAGCGCACGCGGGAATCAGTGGGAACGCGCCCCAGCACCGAATTTCTCCTAAACCGCTTGGTACCAAGTCATGTCTGCGGTCTGCAAAGGGAAGGGGTGAAGAAGGAGAAAAGGAAGGGAAAGAAAGGGGGAATATAATCCTTCCTTCAAGTTTGGCCCACATGTGGCCCAAAGGCTTGCTGAGTTTGATGAGGCTTTGGTTGTTTTGCAAGAGAACCTTTCTCGGGGAACCCTTCACGACCCGAGGAACGTGTTGACCTGAAAGCATATATTCCGCCGCGGCGGCTGATTCATAAAATGGGTTTTACTTCAAATGTCCCTAATATCCCCCTTTGGGTGGTTTGGAACATCACATCTTGGGACAATCGAAAGCGATTTTCCTCTTCCTAAGATACTGCTTAAGATTTTTGAGGGGAAACGTAAGGAGCTCTGTATTTCCCATTCCGGAAGCCAAGAGGCGGCCTTGAGGCATCATGGTAGTCTAGTCATTCTCCAGATGCCATGATTTCGGGTCGGAGTTTGGTGGACTTTGTGCGCGCTATCGGGCAACGGTTGACTTCAGGGCTCGGTGCCTTGAGAAAATGGAAACCAGCCAGCCATCCAGCCAGCCAGCCAATTGCATTTATGTTATGGTCTGTGGATTTCGGCTCAGCGCGTTTCTTCGCCATGGCGGACAGCCAGGAGGCAGGTCTGGTAGAAAGGAAGGGAGGGAGGGAGGCAGGGAGGGAGGGAGGAACGAAGGGAGGGACGAACGAAGGGAGGGAGGAAGGGAGGAAGCGAGAAAAGAAGGACCGGGTGTGTTCCAGCAATGCTGGCCAAGCTGTGTTGAGACTGTATGAGAACATGTTTGTCCAAGGAAGACGTTTGTGCAACCATTGTGAGATAATTTTGGATATTGATTACGCGTGTAAATAGGAGACTTCTCCTTTAAAGTGGAAGCTTCGGAAGCAGAAGATCACCGAGTTCTTGTTTGTTGAAATGGGTGTGGGTCAAGATTAAACCACTAGGGGACCGCATGTTTTGGTCCATGTTTCCATGTACCAGGGTTCGTTTTGGGTACCTATTTTTGACCCAGACCCAAATGGGTTTGCTTGAAGATCAAGCAAAAGTCGCAACCTTTTGGCCTCCCTTGCAAAAGCCATCCGACGTGAAGGTGACAGTTTTGAGACGTGCTCGTTTCCCGGATTCGGCCAGGATCGGCTGATCGTGGTGAAGAATACCTTCATAGACCTGGATGATGCTCCCAGGCAAGCGTGCGCCTTTTTGTGCCCCGTGAAAGCCCTCGTCAAACGGACGGCTGCTCCGGGCCCTTAGAAGATGACCCAATCTCAAGCAAATCTTAAGGCTAAACAATTGTCAGGTGTCCTTTTGTTTCCTCAATACCTGCCCCTGCCCCACAAATCGCTATGTAACCCTTTCATTCCTATGCATCGAGCACTGAGGGTGAGGTGCGGATATGCGCCGGTCCTTTTGGTTCTTTACTTGGTGAGTAGACGCAAGAGTTTCGTACCAGTTTTTGTTTGTGACGAGTTTGTCGTTATGTCTTTGACCTGCAGATTGACTTTGAGCTTGGGCTTCCCAAGCAAGCGGTGCCACAGAAAAGCATCAGAGCCAACGTAGCCACACCCTCTTTGTGTTGGCTTTCCCACGAAAGATGGCCAACCGCAAAAGGAAAGGGCTCCCTTTTTCTACCCGGGTCACTGAACGATTGGGGTAAGCCAGAGTTCGGATGTGAACGGTACTGTGATTACGCTTGCGAGGTTATCTGGCTTCCCTGAGTAGTGTGACTGTTGCTTGCTGAAGACCAAGAATTCACAAACCCTGGTTGATTTCCTAGTGGGTGCTCCACTCATGAAATCCTTCATGCTTTTTGGGGAAGCACCCCGTATTCATCAACAAGGTTTGTCTGAATCTGCGGGTCGTGGATGTTTTACTCGTTCCCTTCAACCCTGTGGACCACTCCGATTCCTTTTTGGGTTCCCATGGCCGAAGCAATCGGATTACCAACCTGCAACATGTCCTCGGTTTGGTCTTGACTCAAGGAGAGTGCCTTACCCACTTTCCAAGAATCATGGAAAGGACAGGGGCCTTCCCCAACAGGAAACTAGTCTTCCAAAACCCTCCTGTGAGAGTACCTTCTGACCCCTCGTCTCGATCGCTGTTTTACCATCTTAGACCCCCAAAGGCCGCAAGTGAAGGGCCTGAAGGGGATTCCAGGCCCTGTTTTCCCCTAGACCAAGACCCGAACTGGGTGCTAACTACCATTTTTTTTGTTTCACAAGTTTCCAGGGCCCCAGTCTTAACCCCCAAAGGCCTTGGTGCAGCAGCCATCCTCAGATTTTCTTAACACTTTGGGATCACTTGAAACCAAGAGTTGTAGTCCCCTTAGCAAATGCGCACCAAGGTTGTAAGGTGAAGGTGGTGGGCTAAGCCATGATCTGTGTATGGTCTGATTTTGGCGCGCGCACACCATGGTTTGTTTATAAATGATTTCGCTTCGAGCAATCCCCACCCTCCACACTCACGAGCTTACGACCGTTACAACAAATTCCTCCGCATCCTAGAGACTTCGACTCCAAATTCCCATCGGCCCCTTTCCAATGATATTTTGCCACGCAAGAATGGCAAAGCACTGCTTCAAGCCCGTTTCAAGCGTATTGGCAAGCAACAACTACTTGCACATGGCCGATCACGGCGGCACCAGGGTTATGCATCTGCAGAAGCCACCGCCATCTGCAGAGCACATCACTGCAGGTCACAAAACCGCTTGTTTATGGCTGCGATGCGCAAGAGCGTGCAGCCACCAAAGTCAGCCCTTTGCGCCCAGGTCAAAAGCACGGAATGCTACAATCACATCTTTACATTATGGCTCGACGGGGGATTGAAACGAAGTTGCTTATTCACAACCCAAAGCAAAACAAAAGCATCACCCTTTCCGAGCCTCAGGGTACACTCAAATTACGAAGGCACTAACATGAAATGTAAACCCAATTGTGCACCGAGCGGGACATGAAGCAAATCCAGACTGGCGAGCTGCTCTGGCGGGATACTGGCGCGATCCACTGGCGAATGCTGGCGAGCCGCTCCGGCTCGGTATTGGCCGGATACTCGGCAGGATCCACCGGCAAGGGATACTCAGCGGGATACGGGATACCCAGCGGGATACTCGGCGGGATCCACTGGCGGGCTGCTCTGGTGGGATACTCGGCGGGATCCACTGACGAACCGCTGTGACGAGATACTCGACGAAATCCACTAACGAACCGCTCTGACAAGATACTCGGCGGGATCCACTGGCGCAGGATACTGGGCGGGAGACGGGATACTGGGTGGGGGTGTAGAAGCATCGCAAACGCGGATTCCAACATAACCCCATCCTGTCGGGTGGGAACAAACCGTTCGTCTAGGGGTACCTTCCCCATCCTGTCCAGGGATCCTTCTTTCCAGAAAGCCCTCAGAAACCCAGGGAAATTGCCGGTTTTTGAAAAGAACGATGGCTGAAAAGAATGGGGGGGGCAACCCCTAGAGTTCGGGCGATGACTCGAGGGTGCCCATCCTGGCGCGCTATGCCTCGATGCCGGCCAAGTTCGCGCACGAGGCGCTTGGCGCGGCATAGCACGGGCCGAGATCGAGGTTTGGGCTCGAAGGGATCCCGTGAGACCACAGGGAAGCCACAAGCAAGCCAAGGAAACACGCCAAAAAAAGGAAAGGGCCGCAAAAGCACAAAGACACCCGGTAAATCTGAAATTTGGATGTAAATCTCCTTTGAAGGAGAAAAAAACAGGCCAGGGCGCCGGCAAAAAACCCACCCCGAAGCTTCAGGGAGAGGAGGACGAGCCGGATGAGCTGGATGAGGCACGTTTGCGCCTTGGACTTGTGGCCTCCTCTCTTTTTGTTGTTGCTTCTAGTTTTGGGGGGGGGAGGCGGTTTCGGTCTGTTTGTTTTTTGGTTGTTTGGGGGGGGGACCGTTTTTGGGGGGTTGGTTCTCGGCGATTTGAGGGTTCTCTTATTTTAAAGACACCCCCTTGACAGCCTGACGGTCCTGGTTTAGGCCTATTTGCTGTGACACCAACAACCCCCCGTCAGAGTGATCGACCATCTCGCTTTGGTATCACAGAAATTGGGACATATTCCTTTCAAAGGAATATGTCCCAGAACCATGGAGACTCCCTCGAGACCGGTAAAATGTCTCGTGGAGACCCCTGCTTGGCGCATGACCCCCTGCAATTAACTCTCCTCGTGACAATGTGTGGGAACTTGGGTTTTCAATACGCCAAAAGGCCATCAACCATTTTGGAGATGTGTTTGTCATCCCCAGCTATACAAGCAGCCAAACAAATCTTCATGTCTAGAGCAATCCTTTTTCGGCATTTTGGATTCCTAAATTTGCAGGGGCTTCCCTTAAGTTGGGGATGCCATGCTTCCAAGAGAGGCTTGATCGTCGGATCGCAAAGTACGGGCACGGGGTCTTGGTCTTTGGTGCCTTTGGGGTCGTCTGGGTGCGATTCACTTTAGGCCATGATGGGTTGTAGGATTAAGGATCTCGGGCCAATTTGGGTTTTCGTCCGAACCCCCGTCCCCTTTTTTGAGGAAACCTGGAGAGATTCTCGGGAAGCCCTAAAGGACACCGCTTTTGGAGCTGCTCTCTGCGTGCCAAAGAAGCCATGAGACCTTCAGGGTCAATTTTGGGTGCCATGGAGCGGCGTGTCTCGGGTATGGGCACAAGACGAACGGACTTTTTGGTATCGCATGAAAGGATCTCGGGGTTGCTCGGGGCCCTTAAAAGGTGGCTGGGTAGAAACTTGGGTTGGTTTCCTTGGGCATCACTTTGCGTCCGTTTGCTTTATATGTTTAATTTCCCCCTGTTAGTTTAGCAGGAGATCTATTACAACTGGACATCTTGTTGTGTTGTCTGTTTCCAGAGGACTTAAGCAAGTGGAGGTTTACCAACCAATTTTCTATCCTTCCGATCGGATCTTGGTTGGGAGC